CCTCCCCCCCTCCCCCCCTCCCCCCCTCCACCCCTCCACCCCTCCCCCCCTCTCCCCCTCCCCCCCTCCCCCCCTCTCCCCCTCTCCCTCCCCCCCTCTCCCCCTCTCCCCCTCCCACTCTCCCCCTCCACCCCTCCCCCCCTCCACCCCCACCCCTCCCCCCCTCCACCCCTCCCCCTCCACCCCTCTCCCCCTCCCCCCTCTCCCCCTCCCCCCCTCTCCCCCTCCCCCCCTCTCCCCCTCCCCCCACCCCCTCTCCCCCACCCCCTCTCTCACTCTCCCTCCCCCTCCCCCCCTCCCCCTCCCCCCCACCCCCTCTCCCCCACCCCCTCTCTCACTCTCCCTCCCTCCTCCCTCTTTCCCACACTCACTCTCTCTCTCACACTCACTCACGTGACTCTCACACTCTCCCCCCTCTCCCCCCTCCCTCTGGCTGGAGCTGCCCCCTTCCCCGTTGGACCGCTGCCGACTCACGCAGCCGCCGCCGCCGCTTTGTGTTGTGGCCTCGCCCTCGCTGCCGCCCCCCCCCCCCCGTCTGACGCAACGGCCGAGCAACGCGCGGCCTCCACCCTCACCCGTGCCTCCACCCTCCACCCTCACCCAGTGCCTCCCAGTGGCTGGGAGACGTTAACCACCTCGCCTGCTACGCACGAGGTCGTGGGTTCGATGCCGACCCTGACGCGACGGCTGCTGTATTTTCGGAGTTTGCGTCTCTCTCCGGGTTTTTCCCCTCCCCAGTATTTGGCTGCTGCTCGAGATGTCCCCCGCACACCCACTCACGGACTCACCCACGGACTCACCCACTCAGCCACCCACTCACTGACTCACCCACCCACCCACTCACCCACTCACTTACTCACCCACTCACTCGTGCCCCGGCGTCACTCGAGCAAACGCCTCCTCTCCCGTCTGGTCTCTCGCTCTGAGCTCTCGCTCCGTCACACGGTATCACTGACTCACTCGCTCACTCAGCCACGCGCTCACTCACTCAGCCACTGGCTCACTCAGCCACTCACTCGCTCACTCAGCCACTCGCTCACTCACTCAGCCACTGGCTCACTCAACCACTCACTCGCTCACTCACTCAGCCACTGGTTCACTCAGCCACCCGCTCACTCACTCAGCCACTCACCCACCCACTCACTCAGCCACTCACAAAGCCACTCACTCACTCAGCCACCAACTCACCCACACACACACCCACTCACTCACCCACTCACTCACTCACTCACCCACTCATTAACCCACTGACTCAGCCACTCACTCAGCCACCAACTCACCCACACACCCACTCAGCAACCCACTCACTCACTCACTAACCCACTCAGCCACTCGCTCACTCAGCCACTCACTCACTCAGCCACTCACAAAGCCACCCACCCACTCAGCCACCCACTCACTCGAGCAAATGAGACTCCTACCCACCCGTCTGGTCTCTCTCTCGCTCTGAGCTCTCATTGCGTCACACGGAATCACTGACTCACCCGCTCACTCAGCCACTCACTCACTCAGCCACTCACTCACTCAGCCACTCACAAAACCATCCACTCACTCAGCCACCAACTCACCCACACACCCACTCGTGCCCCGGGTCATTCGAGCAAATGAGACTCCTACCCACCCGTCTGATCTCTCTCTCTAAGTTCTCACCGCGGGCATGCAGAATCACTGACTCACCCACTCACTCACCCACCCACCCACTCACTCACCCACCCACTCACTAACCCACTCCACCACCCACTCACTAACCCACTCACCTATCACTCACTAACCCACCCACTCACTAACTTACCCACCCACTTACCCACTCACTCACCCACCCACCCACTCACTAGCCCACCCACCCACTCACTAACCCTCCCACTGCTCCACTCTGGAATTCCCTCCTCCCGCCGTCGCCTCTCTTGCCCCAAGTTCTCACGATCGCCTTTTCGCTTCTCAAACCAAAAAACGTGTGACGCACTTTCATCTCTGGCAGCAATGCCGTTGGTCGCCGTGCTCGGTGGCCGGTTGCCACGGTCGGCTACGTACGGTGCGAAAGAAGGCCAGCGTGCGTACGGAGTGTGCAAGTGCGATGACGTCGCCCCTGGGGAGACAAAGGCGGCCGGGCACGGTTGCTGGCCACCCACCCCTCTCGCGTGCCACAGTGCCGGTAGCCTTCGTCGGTGCTGCTACCCGCCAACAGCACTTGCCACTCGCCAACAGCACTTGCCACACAAGTCTGTCACGGGGAACACGGTCGGATCCCCCCCCCTGCCTTTGTGTGTGTGCGTGAGAGCCTCTTGCGGACGCGCGCGTGCGTGTGTGCAACCCAGTGTGCGTGTGTGCATGTGTGCGTGTAACCCAGTGTGTGTGAGTGCGTGTGTGTAACCCCCTGTGTGTGTGTGTGTGTAACCCCCTGTGTGTGTGTGTAACCCAGTGTGAGTGAGTGTGTGCGTGTGTGTAACCCCCTGTGTGTGTGTGCACGTGTTTCTCTTGCGTGAGAAGAGAAGAGACTGGCCAAACCCAGTGCGTGTGTGTACGTTCGTGTGTGTATGTGTGTGTGCGTACGTGCGTGTGTGTATGTGTGTGTGCGTACGTGCGTGTGCGTGTGTGCATGCATGTGTGTGTATGTGCGCGTGGGTGTGCGTGTGTATATGTGCATGGGTGCGCGTGCGTGTGTATGTGTGCATGGGTGTACACGTGTGCGTGTGTATGTACGCGTGTGCGTGGGTGTGTATGCGTACGCATATACGTGCGTGCGCGTGTCACGGGGAGCGGTGGTGCAACGGTTAGCGCGGCGCTGCGCTCCGAACCCAGCGACCCGAGTTCGATTCCCGCTCGCGGCCAACATAGTCCGTACCCCTAAGTCGACTCAGCCTCAAGTGAGAAACACTGGCGCGGTGCCTGCTGCTGCTGCTGCTGCCCCTGCCAGCACCACGCCCGGCCACCCACCCCCACGGTGCCGGCCTTCGTAGGTGCTGCTCACAGAGAGCACTTGCCCCACAAGTCTGCTGGGGCTGTAACAAGTCTGCTGGGGCTGTAACAAGTCTGCTGGGGCTGTAACAAGTCTGCTGGGGCTGTAACAAGTCTGCTGGGGCTGTAACAAGTCTGCTGGGGCTGTAACAAGTCTGCTGGGGGCTGTAACAAGTCTGCTGGGGCTGTAACAAGTCTGCTGGGGCTGTAACAAGTCTGCTGGGGCTGTAACAAGTCTGCTGGGGCTGTAACAAGTCTGCTGGGGCTGTAACAAGTCTGCTGGGGCTGTAACAAGTCTGCTGGGGCTGTAACAAGTCTGCTGGGGCTGTAACAAGTCTGCTGGGGCTGTAACAAGTCTGCTGGGGCTGTAACAAGTCTGCTGGGGCTGTAACAAGTCTGCTGGGGCTGTAACAAGTCTGCTGGGGCTGTAACAAGTCTGCTGGGGCTGTAACAAGTCTGCTGGGGCTGTAACAAGTCTGCTG